AAAAAAAAAAAAAAAAAAAAGAGAGAGATGAGGTGGAAGAAAGGTGTGGCCACGCTGTCAGTAGCCTCATCCCCAATTCCTGCCCCTGGAGGACATCAGGCCCTCCCTCCAGTCCAGTGTGGCCTGTGCGATCTGGGCCCCCACCTGCTAAGTCAGGGAATCTCTCCTCCTGAAGGTGAGTTTGGAATTCCCTTGCACACACTGGTGACCCCCTCTCCAGGAGAAAGAAGTAGGGAAGAACCCGTCGAGTACAGGCTGGAAAATCTGTTTATATGCAAATGTGCCCCCTAGGAAGGGTCAGGTCACAGAGCAGGGAAGGAAGCTCACCCTTCCAAAGAGATGTGACTGGAACCGGCTCTTTTGGCCCCAGCTCAACCGCGCTTCTTTTGTCACTCATTCCTCAGTGGGTGGGATCTGGAGGACTATCCAATCAGGGACACCGGGGCGCGGTCGTGAGATCTGTCAATCAGACGCTCTCGGAGGACTAGGTGACTTTCTGCTCTGGATCCTGGGTAGTATCCCTGTGCTTGGGCTCCGGCTCCGGCTCCGGCTCCGGCTGCGACTCGGTACTGAGACCCCTGGGGGTAGGTCTGTGACAGCCTCTGTCGTTCTGGGAGCCGTAGAGAGGACGCCGCGACACCACGAAAACCGGGAAATGGTGAGTGTGCAGACGTCCGCGGGCGGGAAGCGGGGGCTGGTTGGAACCGGCCGCAACCGGCTGTGGCGGGACCGGGGCCTTCCAGCGGTCAGCTCGGAAGTCTGCGGACCGGAGTAGCCGTGGGCGTAGCTCGGCCCTTAGTCCCTCTGGCCCGCAGTGTGAGGCTGGGCCCGTAGCCGGGCCCCCGGCCGGCCTGTGTGGTCCGTGCGTGGCGACCTCGGCCCCCGAGCCCCATGTGCCCCCAGATTGTGCGGCTGAAACCCTAACGGGTTCCCTGCCAGATCGGCGTAACTCAATACGCCAAGACACGGAGGGTCGCTGCAGAGACAGAGTTTAATCCTATGTCAGCCGAAGGAGGACAGGGGAGACAAACTTAATCCTCCTCCTTTAGAGGTGAGGACAGGGGTTTTCAGGAGTCTGGACTGTGTGGGCTGTGGTGTGGGGATCGCTGAGTGGATGAGAAATGAGTAGTGAAGCCTGGGGACGCCGAGAGTTTGAGTGTGAGTGCGTGCGTTGAGGGGGAGTCTAGACTGGTTAGCGCCAGCCATTCCTCCTGACTTGATCTGAAAACAGCTAAGAAAATTCTTTTTTTTTTTTTTTTTAAATTTCACATTAATATGAGAGTCTATGCGATCAGGTTATGCAGTCTACTTTTGTAAGATTCAAGTACTCTTGAACACAGATTTCTCATAACTTTACAAGCAGTAGACTGAAAACATCAAAAACTGATAAAGGCAGGGTGCAGTAGCTCACACCTATAATCCTAGCCTGGGAGGCCGGGGCAGGTGGATTGCTTGAGCTCAGGAGTTCAAGACCAGCCTGAGCACTCACGAGACTCCCGTTTCTACTAGAAACAGAAAAACTAGCTAGGCATTGTGGGGGATGTCTGTAGTCCCAGCTACTGGGGAGGCTGAGGCAAAGAGAATCACCTGAGTCCAGGAGTTTGAGGTTGGTGTGAGCTATGATGATGCCATGGCACTCTACCCAGGGAGGGTTCTATTCAATTGTTACATGCTCAGTTTTACCATCAGAATTGCTGTGTGGGAGAAAGTTAGTGTAGACAGACAGTAAGAGTAAATGCTGGGAAACCACAGCATTATGTGATGTTTATGTGGTGAGTATAGATTCCTATTACTGAGTTTCAACTTTGGTCCTCTGCACATGTGGGATGTTTCAGGACACAGTGACCTTTGAGGATGTGGCTGTGAACTTCACTCTGGAGGAGTGGGCTTTGCTGGGTCAGTCACAGAAGAATCTCTACAGATGCGTGATGCATGAAACCATCAGGCACCTGGACTGTATAGGTAAGAATAACATCATTTCTTCACTTAATCAATTAGAGAACATTTGTTTCTTGGTCATTAAGGTTAATGATTAGGAATATGAACAATGCAAGGGTTAGGGGTTACAAACCCCAAGCAGTCATAAATCCTCATATAACTTTTTTCTCCTGCAAAACTTAAGTAGTGGTAGACTACTGTTAACTAGCAGCCCTTTGTACTTCATCTATATTATGTACTGTGGTCTCACAATAAAGTAAGGTAAAGGGAAAATTATAAGGAAGAGAAACTTAATTATTTGTTAAGTGAAATTGGGTTATCATAGATGTTTTCATCCTCCTTATCCTCACATTAAGTAGGCTGAGGAAGAATGGGGTTAGTCTTGGCATCTTAGGGGTGACAGAGGCTGAAAAATAATTACATATAAGTAGACCTGAAAAAAAGAAAAAAAATTAGAGGACCTCTCCAATTCAAACCTGTGTTCAAGAGTCAACTATATTTTGGTGAATAAATCACACATAAGCATTGTACAGTTTTCTCATAATTGTGTAATAATTTATGATTCTTCTGCATTGACATTTTAGGAATAAAATGGGAAGGCCAGAATATTGAAGATTGGTACAAAAATCCCATGAGAAATCTAAGGTAATTTATGCATACAGGAAAAAGTTATGTCCCTGGAGGGAATCTTAGGACGACAGGAAATTGTAACTATAAGCAAAGAAGAGGAATAAGTCCAGCTTCAAGTTTAATTTAGCTTTAGAAATCTTTCTCCAGAAACATACTTAAATGTGGCTTACTTATCAATGTTTGGCAGTTTTCTTGGAAATAGTAATGAGAAAACCCATGTTTTCTGTTTTGATAAGAGGTGCGGTGGAGGTATCCTACATAGCTTTTAATCTGAATCCATTTGTGTTCAGACAGGGTATAAACCCTGCATGGTAATGTTGAAAATGTTGATCCAATACCTATTAATAAGTATGAGGTCATTAATAAAGTTTAGTAATGTGCTTCTTATTTTTTATAGAAGTCATGTCGTAGAGAGATTTTGTGAAAGCAAAGAAAGTGGTCAAGGTGGAGAAACCTTCAGCCAGAGTTCAGATGGTATTGTGAACCAGAAAATTCCTGGAATGAAACTATATGAAAGCAATGTGTGTGGGGAAGTCTCCGTTAGTCATTCCTCCTTTCATAAGTATATCAGAGCTGATGGCAGACTTAAATTATGTACCTATCAGGAATATGGAGAGAAACCCCATACCCATAAACAGTATGGGAAAGCCTTCAGTTATCACCACTCTTTTCAAACACATGAAAAGGCTCACACTGGAGAGAAACCCTATCACTGCAAGGAATGTAGCAAATCCTTCATTTCTCTTGGAAACCTTCGAAAACACACGGTAGCACACAATGGAGATATATCTTATAAATGTAAGGTGTATGGAAAAGCTTTCAATTCACCCAATGTATTGCATATACAAGGAAAAACTCATGCTGGAGAGAAACCCTATGAATGTAGCCAGTGCTCTAAAGCCTTCCCTGATTACAGTTCCTATCTAAGACATGAAAGAACTCACACTGGAGAGAGACCTTATAAATGTAAACAATGTGGGAAATCCTTTGCTTGTTCCTCTTATATTCGAATACATGAACGGATTCACACTGGAGAAAAACTATATGAATGTGAGCAATGTGGGAAAGCATTTCATCGTCTCAGAAACTTTCAAAGACACATGATAACTCATACTGGTGCTGGACCTCATAAATGTAAGATATGTGCAAAAGTCTTTGATTCTCCCAGTTCATTTAGAAGACATGAAAGAACTCACACTGGAGAGAAACCCTATGAATGTAAGCAATGTGGGAAAGCATTATCAGATCGCACAAGCTTTCAAAGACACATGATAACACACACTGGAGATGGACCTCATAAATGTAAGATATGTGGGAAGGTCTTTGGTTCTCCCAGTTCATTTCAAAGACATGAAAGAACTCACACTGGAGAGAAACCCTATAAATGTAAATGTGGGAAAGCCTATCGTTATATCTATTCCTTTCAAAATCATGAAAGAACTCACATTGAAGAGCTGTATAAATGTAAAGAATGTGGAAAATCATTCTGTTGGTCCACTTCCCTTCTAAGACATGAAAGGAGTCACACTGGAGAGAAACTCTCATAATCATATAGTAAAGCCTTTAGTCATTCCAGTTGCCTTTAAGTACAAGAAAGAATACACATCGAAGAGAAACCATATCAATGGAAGGAATGTGGGAAAGCATTCATTTCTCTCAGTTCCTTTCATTATCATAGGAGTCACTGGGGAGATATCTTATAAATGTTTGAAATATGGGAAGACATTTGTTAATATTATTTCAGTGAAAGAACTCCCATTGAGGGAAACCCTATGAATATGAACATGTTATGTTCTGTGGTAAGCAGGTTTACACAGTCCTTCCTCCAAAGTCTTAGAATGCTCAGGGGCTGAAGAAAGAGGCCACCAGATCCAGTGTCTCAGAAAGAAACAATAGGACTTACAAGCCATGTCTTGGTGCTGAGGTGAGTTGGTGGATCCCCATGTCATTACTCCCCAGACCCAGGGCTTATATTGCCACAGGGAAGGAATGTGTAGAACCATTGAAATCTATCTCTCTGGGAAAGGCAGGAATTCACAAAGCGGGAATCTGCCTATGGGCAGGATTTATGGTTAAGATTCTCCTGATCTAAGAGTAGGCTTTGTGCTTAAGTAGATAGAGTGAAATCTTACATGCATTCCCAGAATAGGGGTTAATCATAAATCAACATAGATTAACATCAAAATAGAGTTGTGTGTGTGTGTGTGTTTTTTTGTCACAGCTCACAGCAACCTCAAACTTTTTTTTTTTAATTGTTGGGAATTCTTTGAGGGTACAAAGAACCAGGTTATAATTGCATTTGTTAGGTAAAGTCCCTCTTCAACATAGAGTTTCTTTAGCCTTCACCCTTTTACTGCCCTGCCCCTCTGTAATCCAGCTCCTGTGATCTCATTCATTCTCTTCCAAGATGGTCTCTGAGGCTTGAGGGAGATGATACTTGACATTGTATAAGTTTAGCAGGAGTGCATTGGCATTGAGAGACAAAGTGAATTTTGGAATCCCAGTGGGATTCCAAATGTGGGAGATTTGTAGGCTTTGTTGAATCATCTCTCATCTTAAAAATACCATGAATGGCTCAGCGTCTTTGGTTTAAGTGGCTAAGGTGCTAGCCACATACACCTGAAGTGGCGGGTTCAAATCCAGCCCAGGCCTGCCAAACAACAATGACAGCTGCAACCCCAAAATAGCTGGGCATTGTGGAGGGTGCCTGTAGTCCCAGCTACTTGGGAGGCAGAGGCAGGAGAATCACTTGAGCTCAGGAGTTGGAGGTTCCTGTGAGCTGTGATGCCACAGCACTCTATTTAGGGTGACAGTTTGAGGCTCTGTCTCAAAAAAAAAAAAATACCATGATTTTGATTTTCTCAGAAGTAAAACAATAAGAGATTATAATCAAAAGAGAATTTGGGCTCGGCGCCTATAGCTCAACCGGCTAAGGCACCAGCCACGTACACCTAAGGTGGCGGGTTCAAATCCCCAGCCCAGACCCGCCAAACAACAATGACGGCTGCAACCAAAAAATAGCTAGGCGTTGTGGCGGGCGCCTGTGGTCCCAGCTACTTGGGAGGCAGAGGCAGGAGACTTGCTTGAGCCAGGAGTTGGAGGTTGCTGTGAGCTGTAATGTCACGGCACTCTACCCAGGGGAACAGCTTGAGGCTCTGTCTCAAAAAAAAAAAAAAAAAAAAGACAATTTGTGGCTCTGTGCCTGTGGTTCAAGTGGCTAAGGCGCTAGCCACATACACCTGAGCTGGCAGGTTCCAATCCATCCTGGACCCAGCAAACAACAATGATGGCTGCAACCAAAAAATGCTTGGGCATTGTGGCTGGCATCTCAGCTACTTGGGAGGCAGAGGCAGGAGAATTGCTTGAGCCCAGGAGTTGGAGGTTGCTGTGAGCTGTGATGCCACGGCGTTACACCCAGGGTGACAGCTTGAGGCTTTGTCTTAAAAAAAAAAGACAATTTGTATGCCAGAACAACAAATACAAAAAATCAACCTATTTCATTAGGGAACTCACTAAAAACATTATTAAGAAAATAGTTTCCAGCCAGGTGTGGTGGCTCGCTCCTGTAATTAGCACTCTGGGAGGTTGAGGCAGAATGATCATTTGAGCTCAGGGGTTGGAGAGGAGACCAGCCTAAGTAAAAGCAAGACCAGACATGTCACTACTAAAATTTGAAAAATTAGCTGGGTGTTGTGGTGGGCACGTATAGTCCCAGCTACTCAGAAGACTGAGGCGAGAGGATCACTTGAGCTGTGATGCCATGGCACTGTACCCAGCGCAAGAGAGCACGACTCTATCCCAACAATAACAGACAAAAAACAGGAGCCATTCTGAGGACCTAGATACTGGGGAGCTGCAAGCATACCTGCCAGCCATTAAGCAGGTTCAAGGAGGGATAGAAGGGCCCAGGAGCTCCCACATACCCCTGGGAAGATCCCTGTAGGCTGCTGTTGAAGCTGTGATATAAGCAGACTGCATTTCCCTCAGTTTCTGCCTTCTGAAAGAAAAAAATATGACAGGATTAGAAAAGACGCCAGAATTTTTTTTTTTTTTTTTTTTTTTTGGTAGAGACAGAGTCTCACTTTATCGCCCTTGGTAGAGTGCTATGGTGTCACAGCTCACGGCAACCTCAAACTCCTGGGCTTAGGTGATTCTCTTGCCTCAGCCTCCCGAGTAGCTGGGATTACAGGCGCCTGCCACAACACCCAGCTGTTTTTTTGCTGCAGTTTGGCCGGGGCCAGGTTTGAACCTGCCACCCTTGGTACATGGGGCCTGCGCCCTACCCGCTGAGCCACGGGTGCCGCCTAACACACCAGATTTTTAAGTGTGCTGGAAATGACTTCAGGTGAAGGCTGAGGGGCTTATAACTTGTAGGGCAGTTAATTGGTGGCCCCCCACCTCTTTATCAGCACCTCTGTGATCGGAGGCAGCATTTAATTAAAGAAACACAGTACAGAGTCCCAGTCACTGACGTACAGGGACCCTTTTGTCCACATGGCCCTGCATAAGTTCTGTGTCAGCTGTTTGTAGGTGTGTTACACTTCATTCCTAAAATTTCACGTTGACTCACCAGCCATATTGAATATGGGTTTAACTAGCTCATACTAGAGCAGAGCTCAGTCACCCTTGCCACAGTTTTAGGACCTCCTCCCATTTTCTTAATAGCCATATATAGCTGCCTCCTGGTAACCACCTTTATATGGAATACAAAGACACAAGGTACTTGGTTCACCACAGTTTCCACCAAACCCCTCCTCAACTGTCAAGATAGGCTGTAGTGATCCCAATGTAACCTCTTGGAATCCATATCTTTGCTCTAAACACATTGTTTGGAACTCTTTGCAGAAATCCCACCTAGGTATCTTGCTGCATCCAAATAAAGACTTCAGCATCTGGGTCCTTCACTCTATTCCTTGCAGTCCCTCCACTGGTTGAGTATATGTGTCCATTACGCCTGCCTCTTTCAGGACAATCCTGCCACCAAAAGTGAGATGGGTATAAGAAACATAGGAATGACTCAGAAAAGTTCAGCTGGACAATTTAGACAAGTTTGTTAGAGGTCACTTACACAGGGCACTCACTACACAGGTGTTTTCTGCCTGTTCACTTCTTCCACAGAAGTTCACCAGACAGCTACTCAGTTCTCCAGACCTTCACTCCTGGGTGGCCCAGGAGTTCTTTAGAGAATAAAACCACACCACCTACCCATGGTGTCACCTTAAATCTCTTCCCAGTGAGTAACACAGAACACTTCACATAGTCTCATCACATATTCACATTGAAACAAATCAAGCACGTGCCAGTCTGCAAGTCTTCTGACCACTTGTAGTACAGCTGGGCCCTTGGCCTGGTCCCTCCCATCTAGAGGCTGGGCTGGTAGCTGGGTCCCCGAACATCCTGTCTGGTTCTTGCACGGAGACCTGGGCCCTGGCCTCATAACAGCTCCGTGGCCACAGCCCTGCATGTCCCGGACTGTGGAGCGACAGTGGGAGGGTTATTGAGGGAGGGTCCCTGGGTTGGTGTGTGGAATAGTGCTTGGTTGGGACTGTGGTCTCTGGAGTCCCCAGTCACTCCAAAAGGTGACCAGTTCCCCTCCATATTTTCTGAAGGTTTGAGAAGCAGGGGCCCAAATCCACCACCCTGTAGGTTCATCCTAACTCCAGGGGCTAGCACTGTAATCCCCATGGGTTCCAGATTCCCTGTGAATTTCACAAAGCTAAATGCCCCCCCCCCCTTTTTGAGACAGAGTCTCATTTTTGTCACCTTCGGTAGAGGCTGTGGAATCACAGCTCACAGCAACCTCCAGCTCTTGGGTTTAGGCGATTGTCTTGCCTCAGCCTCCCGAGTAGCTGGGACTACAGGTGCCCACCATAACTCCCGGCTATTTTTTGTTCGAGTCTGGCCAGGGCTGGGTTTGAACTTGCCACCCTTGGTATATGGGGCTGGCGCCCTACTCACTGAGCCACAGTCGCCACCCAATAAATGCCTCTTCTCAATTACCACCAGCAACTCTTTGCACCCCAGGCTGTTTCATACAGATGTGCCATTGTCATTACATTGTGTTCAGATAACAAAGTATGGCTCTTTTTCAAATTTATTTTGTCTTTTGAACTTTTCCCATTTGAAGAAGGCAGAGAATAACCACCCTGTCATCCATATTTTCTGTGTGTGGGGTGTTGGGTTCTTTTGGTCTCTGGGTTAGAAGAGTGAAACCACAGGCCACACAAATCAGCTACAGGATAGGGTTTATTGATGGAAGAAAGATTGATAGAAAGACTGATAAGCAAAAGAGGGGATACAGAACCTTCCCAGCAGAGGAGGGATCCAAGTGGGAAGCCCTCCCTTCAGTCTAGTGGGTTTAAATGATGCTTTTCCTATCCTGTGGCAGGGGTTTTTGGGGAATTATGTCACAATTGGCCAGAGGTCTGCTGACAGAAAATAATCTCAGTGCTTGTCCCAGGCAAGTATGTGCTCCCTACTCTAGGAGGAATGGCACAGATCCCTTCAGGCTACTTTTTTTGAGACCTTGCTTGACTAAGCCCTGGAA